AGGTATCAATGTAGGATGGGGGCTAAAACCTTGTGAAGTTCAGCAAGCCCTCTTTACGACTTCGTTGGGGGGGGAAATGAGTACAAAGGCATGGAATTTACTCAAATAGATCTTTTCCATTTGAAGTCTGGTAACATAGCTAGCAGGGTTGGAAAGCAATGCCACAATATGTAAGAAATCGTGGGGAATATTATTAAGATGCTTATTTGATCTTTCTCAAACAATACTTATTTTTTAATAATGCTGCCAATCAAAACATATAACAGGAATGTTTGGGGGGTCGGTGGTTCTCTCTGGTTACAAGTGATATTCCATTAGCAACGCCTCTTTTGGCAACCACGTAATCGTTCTGGCTGCTCTTTTGCCAGGTTCTCCTACTAATGCTGTCTGGAGCTGTACGTTGGTGGGAAATCACAGATTAGACGAGTTGGCCACGTCTGCACTTTTAGCTGTAAGAGACAGAAGGAAAGAGCCAATGGGAGACAGGGGGTCACAATGATGCAGGAAGACATTTTTTGTATTGTGTCAAGCCTAAACACTAACATTTGGTGGATTAAACTCTTTGGGCAGCTTCAACACCCTCAAGGTGCATTCACACCAAACTGGAGTGACGCATTTTGGCCATGGCACGGCGCGATTGGCGTGAATGATGCGAATTCGCATCATTTGCGGCATTCGCTCGTTTCGTGTGAGTTGAAATATTTCAACTTCGGGCGAAAAAATCCCGTGAGGCTATGGCGCCACAGCCTATCAGCGTTGAGATGCTCCTCCTGTCATCACTTGTTGAATCAGGAAATAAATACTGTAGCCATCTGTGTTCACCCAGAGCTCTACGATGCCTCATATTACCAGACCAAACTATGTGTATAAACCATATGGCACAAATGATGCTGCCGTATTTACGCCGGGATAACGTTATTTTGAGTGTTGATGGAGCTGCTACAATGTTAGCATAGAATAGCATTGATCGATCCGAGGTCCATTGAGAAAACAATTATTTTAAGAGTTATTTGCTTGTCGTTAGTTTATTGCAGTTAAATCACAGCAAAATCTGTTATTTTGTGTTCATACAGCTGTAGTAAACCAGCTAGACACAGTGAATACTCCTCGATAAAATTCACGGAGCTCCTCCTGAAAATGGTATGAACCCAGACAAGACGGTGTTTAGTTTCCTGGGATATCTGGGACTTCCACTACAAGTACTAAGCACAAATAGAGGTATTTTTTCCATGGTTGATGGCGGAAAGAAATGGTGGACAGTTGAACGGCTTCCAGGGCGATAAGCCATGCCCCCTCTCCGGCGCATTTCCCGTGAATGGCGCGATTCATGCGAATGAGCACAAATGGTCCCCGGCGAGTGAACGCGCCACGTTCAGACAGCATTTGACAAGGTGGATAGTTTAAATTTTGACTTCATAATTACACCGATTTTTTTAGTCTGCCTGAGGGTTCGGTTTCTTTCATTCACTGAAATTTGCCCTTTACACCCAAATCACTTTAAATACGAGCACACACATTCAGCCAGCACATTGCTGATCTGCTCTCTGCAGCCTGACAAGTGGTAAGCTCCTCTTAGAATAAGAGATTACCACCTTAAATTCCAGCTCTGCATGTATGTGCATCTCCTTATGTCAGCTTTACCCTTCTGTAAAACCCCTGGGTCATTAGAGACGACACATTCTGCTGCTCCCTCATCCTGCTTCCCTCACCTGCCTCAAATCAACAATAAATCAAACAACTTTTCAGGCCGTGGCTGAATGGGCCTCAGAAGGGGTACCTGTGTGATCACATGTCCAAGGAACAATGGGGAGAAACCATCCCTAGCCTGAGGACAGTGGGGTTGGAGGGAGGCAGGGAGTGTTCATGGGAGAACACTCCCTTGGAGATTTTATTGGTGTTGTCACATTTTGTGACAAGCTGGTCTCTTGGTGAGAGTTAATCAGCAGGGGATGACCTCATGACTAGACGGACGCCACTGCCAAGGTTCGTGCCATCATTGTTTCTGGATCACAGTACACGTTGGGCTCGAATGCGTTGTGTACACTGTGCCATACATAAGAATAGAATAGGAGTAGAGGGGACATTCCTATTCAGATAAACGTAGCCGGATGGTCAGAGTGTTGGCCATTTTTATGTGCACCGTTGCCATTCCGACCGTTGTAACAGGCTAACGTCGAACTAAACCGACTCAGGAGAAGTCAGCGACTCACTGAGGGGAGGTTTTGCAGTAGCCACTAAAACAAGCAGTGGATTACTAACGCTACAAAGCACAGCAAACCAGATTCACTGGCTTGTGAATTGGCTACTTTGGCTACTGCGGTCGTACATGTCAACTCTCAACTCAAGTTGCTAATCAGACTGTAAACCGTAGCTGCATCGTTTCTTCTGTTGGTATCTAAATATTAATTATCTGACTCATAGACCTTTTTCCCATGTAACTGATCATCATTGATGCACGTTGGCAGCTTTAGCAAGAAGCCATAACTTTTTGATTCTGTTTGTTTTACAACAAAACCTGACATTGTTTATTAAGGTCACTGTAAAATGTTCTGCTACCAAACTTCAGCAAACTTGTAGCTCTTGGAAACATCTGGACATAATCTCCCATATTTAAAAATTCTAAGTAACAACAGTTAGTTATCTTTTACTTTGCTTGAATGTGTTTGAAGGTGGATGTTTCCTTTGAAAGCCAAAGATTGTTTGACAAAGATCAAATGCATGCCAAGCCAATCCTATTAGGATAATGGTGTGAATACAAACTTGTGTGCGGTAAGCCCTCTTCAATCCAGCAGCAGTCAACTAACTCTGTCGAGGATTGTTTGATTCCACAAACACTGAACATTCAGTTTTGAAAAACGTTATTTCTCAAAATCAGTCAATTTTGAAACAACACAGTGGTATCTAAGTGTTACTTGTTGCTTTGACTGATACCTCATGGTGACCCAGGACGTGTCACACCAGCAACCATCTGTTGTGTACCACCCTTTACCTGGAAGCTCCCTCTCAGTATCATCTGATAGGCCTTCCTGTCTCTTCACATACCATCTAATACCCAGCATACCTTCACTGTTTACACACACAGCCTGTCATCTGCAGTGACCTCTGAGGAATCTGTTAATGACTGATTCATATCTTTCGTCAATCACATCTCTGGTCTGTTTCCGTCTCTACACATTTGGTGATTTGCTTTGCCAGATCTTTGTGTCTCTTTCTATTCATGTTGTGGCTTTGCTCAGATTTGTGTCTGGGCATTGCTAAATGTCACATTTATTGCCCTATTTTTACACGTTGTTTTTCGCTGCTTAGGAGACCTCCTTCCCGGTATGTCTTCTTTTTTCCCACTCAGGCTTGATTAGGACCTATTTGTATGTACTAGCAGAAACACAATAAGGAACATTATGACCTAGGCTGGTTTGCTCTTTAATTTGACCCTGAAGTCCAGGCTTTGAACCTCAGAAAGTCCTCTGGATTTCCCAAACTGTAAATACTGTGACTAATATCATCGATTATAAAAATGCCACTGGGATAACATTGCTGAAGTTCAGCTTTGATTTCATTTGTATTTTTCCTTGCCGCACACAATGGGAGCCACTGTATAAGTCCCTCAGGAAAACAATACCTTCTGAGTGAAATGTGAAGCATCTGCAGGACTTTGTGCCTTTAAAGCATCAGTATTACACACGAAAATGTTAACACCGTTTGTCACGTTTTTACATCGTCCACGTCTTTTCACCACTGACCACTGATCTGATTAAGCCCCATTCTGATATCTCTATTCTCTCTCTGTGCTGTCAAGATAACAGTAAAGTGTAAAACATCTGATCGGATATCAGAATAAATGACTATTGATCATCCGTCAGTGTTTCTCTTAGTGGCTTAACTCCCTAGAAGTCCCTGAACACACGACTGGGAGACACCGCCAGGCAATTTTCTTGGGAATTGTGGAATTTTTTGTTATTGTGCCTCGATCAAACATTTAAAGGATGAGACTGGGCTTAATCTATGCTTAGTATTATCACCAAATCCCGATAAGAAAGCAAAATTTACCATGCATTATTCATGCAAAACAACGTGTCAAAAACACTTAAATGGCGTGCCATTGTTCTTTAAGGTTTCTATATTATTATGTAACTTCCCCTTATGTATTCAAATCCCAACATTCAAAGTTTGGTAGCATGCATGTTTTAGCGTCAAAATACTATTTTTCCAAGCCCATCTAAAAACTGACAATATTGCAATCTTTGTCACCATGTTAATTTTTTTTCAAAATTCAAAATGGGTATTTGTTAATGAAATGCTTCCAACTTTAAGAAATATAGTTTTTTTTTATTAAAAGGAAGAAACAGAAACATCTTATGATAACAGTTGAGAGTAAAATGTGGTGAACAGAGTCAAGGTGGTCTGATGAAAACCAAACGGTTGGATCTTCTTGAATCTCCGTCAGTCACTGCCAGCAGGTTCCACAAGAGGAATTCCAAATTTATATTTCGTCAAAACTGTCTCCCAGAGAGAATGGACCCGCGGTGTGAATCTATATTTGTTTGGTCACAAATCTGAAATCGGTGTTTTTTCGTTATAGGATGCCTTTTTCGGTTCATCCCTCCAAAAAATGTACGGCAACTGCTGTCTGTGAATTATCATGTCCTATCTCTCTGCTCTGCAGCCACACTGGTCAAGGCACATGTACAATCTTACCGTGAAGCATCTTTGCCGCCCAGCTCCATATTAAAGTCTCAAAGTGAGTTCATAGCTTGTTTCGTTCCTTTTTTTGTAGACATTTTCTTCCTTTACGAAGACCTCCTTCAATAAATAACACAAATATATTCATAAGTCATATATAGATAGATAAACATGTATAAACTACATGCATTTCATATAATTTAAATAATTTATATGTACAGTTCCCCCTCACACACTCCCTCCCCCCCTCCCCGGCCCCTCTCACACGAGTTCTTTCGTAACAGCGGCTCTGCGCCGGCTTGTAGATTTGCAGCGCATTGAAGTGAAATATCATTTAAACGGACCCAAGATTTCTTCAGTAGAAGTTTCATTTTAGAGTGCTCTTCACCACCATGACACATCACCCAGTGGTGGGGAGTGCCATGAACAGGAAGTAAAATCCAATACAGGAAGTAGAACTCCAAACAGGTAGTCGCCAGCGTGGGCTTGCGTGGTTTTGTTTACGTCCTGCGACGTTTCCGTGACAATGCGCAGACGCATGAGGTGTCTATGCGTATCCACCGCCAGCCCACTGAATTGCGGACCTGCGTCAGCGCTCGGACGTATGTTTGCGTCGTCTTGCACTGCGAGTTCCAGTTCTTGTCATCGATGCCCCTGCAGCCACCTTTGAAGGGCCTAGGGGTCCGACAGCGTGTCTCATAAAAGAACTGTTTGATGTCCTGCGCGGCACTGATTTTAAATTTGGCCAGGACGATGACAGGGTAACCCCCCGTGTCCACTGCTTGGGTTTTATTCGTCACCCACTGGCTCTCGCTGTCGCACACAGAATATTCCCCTCGATAGCTCTTGTGCTCGGCGTAGCGCTTCCTCCGCGTCTTGTTTCCCGCCGCCCCGTCCAATCCGCCACTGACATAATCATCCGTGAGGTACAGCGGCGGCGGCTGCAGCGGCGGCCGGTCGCTCAGCAGCACCCGAGGCGAGTTGTACCGCTTGTGCTGCCTGAGAACGTCCGAGTTCAACAGCATCACCTCCTGGTCGGCAGCGTCGTCGCTGCGACCCCCCGTCCCCCACTGCTCCGCATCGCCCTGCTCCTCCAAAGGTAAGTTTGCACTGAGGAGGGGGGGCAGCGTGTCCGGGGGCTCGGTGTCCTTGCTTTTCCCCTGTTGACTCTGGTTCCCCCTGGTCTTCCCCCTCGTGAGGTCCGCCTGAAGCAGCTCGATGATAAGGGAGTTTAAGGGGTCGGGACTCGGCTGTTGCTGCTGTTGCCCCTGGCGACTGCTGTCCATGTTGGTCACCTGGATACCATAGAGGTACACGAGGACCATCACATACAGCAGGATGGACATCACTAGATTCACCTGAAAGATCTGCAGAGAATGAGAGAGAGACCATTTTAATAGATGCTATACTCCTGGTTGTCTTCCTTACAGCAATGAAATACAGTTTTTTTTGTTAATTCACATTTAACACAATCCGTCTCCAGGGAGGGGAGAGGGGAAGGCGTGAGGCAAAGATACAACCCTCATACAACGGTGCATATGATATCTTATGATAAGTTCTGTTTTAAATTTTGTCCATTCTTCTACGAAAATGCAGCAACACAAGCGATCAGAACCTCTTGAGGCAACACAACTACTTGGTTTAGGTAAAGAATGGTTTCGGCTAAATCTGTTCTTTTCATAGATCATGCTCTCGGGTGTAAGTCACGTAACAAAAGTTTAGTAAAAGAAGTCAAGATTGACTTGGTTTCATACAAGACACAAACATGGTGAAAGTCCTGTGTTTGTTTGAAGCAACCTCCTCCCTACACTGACTTTGTTGCTCTTTATATTGCATCGCTTGCCACTTTCCTAGAGGCAGCCCTTGTACTTCCTGGCTCACGATCTCACAGGTTAAATAGGAATTATAGTCCCTCTCATTGGTCAAAGCAAGAACAGTGAAGGACAACAGCATGCCGTTTATAAAAACAACACCCTCATTTACAGGACAGATGTTGCAGCAGCAGCAGGTCAATTCAGTGTGACTTACACTTCCTGAGGATATCATTTTCTCCAAATGTCATAACTTTAGAACTTGCCTGAGAATCATGACTTTTTAAAGTTTTCTTCCATAGTAAAGTATTCCAGTTCCTAGTTATCTACATGTCTATGTTTACATTGAAAACAGGAACCTCTAATAGCTAATTCTGCATACATTTATGGCTTTGTGGGAACGTTTTTGGCTTGAACTCATTTACCACAATGTAAATAACAGCAGCAACCGTGCTGCTACATGTACAGCATACCTTGTAGCCAAAAAAACACCCACAATTGTGCTCGGAGTAGTACATTTAAACACTTGACACGACCGTGAAACCTGGCTCACACACACACACACACACACACACTCACACACACTTTGCTGTCTCGCCAAAGGGTGTCGCTGTCTCTTATTTACAGTAATTGTTTTTTAAAATGCAGTTGTAGTCTACTTGGTGGAGAGGCAGTTTTGTGATTGTAAGGTTGCCAGTTCAAATCAGGGGAGGAGCAGGATGATTCTTGGAGGTGACGCCCTGCTCCATATTGAACAGCGTCTACTGCAAGACCATCGTAACCCAATACTGTTGGATAATTAGTGCAATAGCCTACTGAAAGGTCAAAATTGTTTGTTTAGTTAGCTTAGGATTTCAATAAGACAAAGTGCTCATCTGTGAGGAACAATCAGAAAGTGTTATTTTTGTTTAAATACAAAACGCACTGAACACTGTCTTCATAAGTAGTTTTGAAATGTTAGTCAAGGCTTGCATCACAACACCACAGCTGCTGTGCTACGGCTCTTGTCTTACTTCCTCCAGTCAGAGCCAAAAATGAAATGATGAAAGACGAGCCACACCTGAGGTGTCTACTCTTACGGTATCATCTGTCATCTTTTGGCTCTGTCCCCTCAATGGGGACATTTACTCTCACATTTCACTTGGGCGCACCCAGTCATCTGATCGAACCTAAAGAGCTCCAGCTTTTTAAGTTTATTTAGGACGATTGCTCCAAGAGGAGTTTTTAAAATCCTGTGGTGATCAGTAGGAGTTCATAGTATGACATGGTGTCAGAGAGCATTTTTCTCATGTTTGTGTTTGTCTGTGCAGGCTCACAAAAGCAGATGTTTCGGCACCACATGCTTGTTCCCAATCAGCATGGGTCAGGATGTGCTGGTGGTGTAAAACCACAGGGAAGAGTTGTTACCACTTACCACAGCTGTTTGTGTCTTTCTGATATTTATTTCACTAAAGCTGACTAGCCTCCACTTATTAGCATTGTCCAACTGCAGCCACTGTCTTTTACTGTCGGACAGTTTGACGAGGGGAACTCTTATAATCACATTAATAACATGAATTCATATGGAAAACCCATTAGCAAGTTTACTTATTTGCACATACAGCAGAAAGCATTCATTTGGAGTCATGTTTCTGGCCAACTGACAAAATCCAATAATCACTCTCCCTTTAGCACTATTTTGGTCTCCACCAACTCCTGAAGGAAATATCTGGCTCTTTAGCTGCTAATTGTTTAATTAATTAATTAATTACATTCACATAAATTCCAGCCACCAATGTCTGGAATTCTCATCAGCTGTCAATTAATAGACAAATTCTCTTTCTCTGCCTTATGGCCGACAGCACAGTAAAAACAATGAAACCATGCGGCTTTCCCTTTTAACTCATCGGGTGCTTTACGATCCTCGAAGACGAGTCGTCTGTGTTTTATTGTGGCCAAAATGACTAGTTGCTTTGACGTAGGGGGTTTCTAATAGCTGTGACCACCTTAAATAATACATTTCTTTTTTCTTTTTTTTAACCCTTAACTATTACAAAAAGGACAGAGGCTCCTCTGATTTTCACAGCACAGGCCATGTGAGGCTCACAAAAGATCTGCTCTCCAGTTCCGGGTTCCTTCTTAATAAGCTGGGGTTACGCTTCGCAGCTATACATGCAGTCAATGTGTTTACGTGAATATGAAGGAAAAAAAGTCAATGATCAATGATGTATGCACGGTCGTACAGTATTTCTCCACTTGAACCCAAGTTTAAAGGAAAAAACGCTAACCAGTATGTACTAGTTTTAATATACAAATGATTTTATTATGGGCTAGCATACTTTTCTCCTGTGTCACCATGTGTAATTATAGTATTCCCACAGAAAATCAGGTGGTGATGCACATTTTATGTGTCACATAAGTTGTGCAACGCATCAACAATGTTATGGCTGGATGATACAGCTGTTGGAGGGAGGGAGGGGCATCTGTTCAGCAGCAATGTCACCTTACAATCAATGGCTCAGGAAAGACAACACACACACACACACACACACACACACACACACACACACACACACACACACACAACAGCACATTTCTCTCTGTTTCTGTCCAAAGAGAAGTATCAATTTGAATATTGGAAACCGCTCAAAGACATGTGCACTTGCACAAACTCGTACTTTTACACTCTCAAGGACCATCATGGACTCACAACCTGGACACATACCTTAACCCTGACACGACGTTTTAACCCTCAAACAACCCCTTCTTCTCAGAGTCATAACACTGTCAAACATGAACACACGGACGTAATACACACACCCACAATGTTGGAACATTCGTCGCGTTCAAGCATCTATAAATCCTCTCACCCTTTTACTTTGTGTGGGTTGCCTCCGTCAGAAAACATGTCACCCGTAGGCCTGTAATTAATTTTTTTCAAATAAAATGTGCAATGTATACGAAACGCTCTAGAGTTACAGTGGTAGGGAAAACCCTGCTGTTTATTCTGGCATCGTGTTGGCTAAAATGTTAGTGACATTCTTATGTGAACAAACACACGTGCAAACACAACAGGCAAGGTCAGCAAAGATTATTCGAGGTCATGACCATGTATCGTACGATAAGTCGTTAGACTGTAGTAATCACTGTGACGGGCCTCGTTGCATGCAGGCTCATTACAATATGCCGCCCCCCCCCATCTGAGAATCTCCTCCCACGACTTGAGAACTTCTTTTGCAAGCGTGTGCCATATTTTTCTCGCCATTTAAGGCAGACTTGGCTTTTTCGGGAGGTGGGCTTAAAGAGGCGGGCGTTTCAGACAGACAGTGAATACAGGTTTATTCAGATAGACAGTATGAGAAAAATAATGTGGTTGTTTTAGCATTAGCATGTAAACATGTTTTAGAAACCCAAAATACAAGTATGAGCCTGAAAATGAGCATGCTATGTCCCCTTTAATTGAATTAAAAGCACTGGGGGGCCGTATATTTTATCAATATTTGCCTTGCGACTCCTGGAACACTCTGTCCTTAAGAGAAGCACGTGCGATTAGCCCCTTGTGGCATTTTGACAATTTGACATTACCACTTATTGTGACACAAACTTTTAGTTTTTAGCTCAATTTCTTTGCCACTGCTTTGGTGATTAAATCCAAAATGAAGGAATAAGGATCTCTCTGTTAATCAGGCGCCTGGCCCCTGAAATCTGCACCCAGTGAGACAAATTAATTTCCGCTCCTGCTGCCACAGTCACTGCAGTACAAGCCCTGACAGTAGTATATGGTGTTAACATTCAGACTTGTGCAGGCTAACAAAGCACAGCGATAACTTCCTCAGTGGGCAGAGTGATAATGAGACTGTGTGTCTTTGTGTGTGTGTCCTGCATGTCCTGCGTTTCTATGCTTTTTTTACAGGACAAGAGTCTGCACAAGGACGGGGAAATGAGGAAACACCTCCCCACTGAGGACACTTTGCCCGTCCTCACCTCTACAAAAACTTATTTTGGGACTTGGGTTTAGGGTTAGGTTTATAATTAGGTGTTGGTTTAACGTTAGGGAATAAATGTAGTCGTCGAAAGTCAAAGCGTGCGTGTGAGAGGGATGCTGGGACGGAATAACAAAGCTGACAGATGTTAATGCTCCCGAAAGAAAATAAAGTATATCGGTGTGCGGCCACAGATTGTCAGGATATTATGAATCCACCTGTTTGATAGGCATGAAGGTGAATCTAATAACACTATTATATTATATGTGTATTATATTCATATAACATATTATGTAAAATGTGTGACCACAAACTCTTTTTGCTCATTTCCATGTCTGTCAGTCTGCCTTTGTGTGATGGGAAGCAGCATGTAGTCAATGCAAGATAATATAATAATCAAGCTATGTCAATATAATAAAATAGGATAATCGACAGGGTGCATTATAAGCTGATTGACATTAGAAAATCTAATTAGAACAGTCAGAACAAATCAAAACAGTATTTCCCTTTTCATTTCCCTAATTCTCTTTCTCATCCTGAGTAAAAGCTATACATCTTTCATATTATATTTTGACTTGTGTAAGTAATATAACA